ACTGAGGAGCCTGCAGGGGCAGTCGCATTTCAACAACGATTTCGTGTCTGTTTCCTTGGGCGCGGACCCTGCGCAAACACCATGTGGCCTGGGCGAAATTTCTGGCAGTGGCTCGTAAAGTCGAAAACAATTGTCCGCTGGGGTTTAGGATAGCAACTTGAATAACGGAAATGGGCTGGTGTAGGATGTGAATGAGGATGACAGGAGGGGCAACGAGCCACACGTTGTCGGGCTCATGACCGTACCCAGGCGCCGAAGTAGTTTGACTCATTGGATGACCTGATTGCTCTGGGGGTCATCTCTTCATAGGCTGCCTGCATCCTTTCGTCTGCTACCCTTCTGGTGTCCCTATGCTTCTGCGGCGCACCTTGCCATGTCCGCAGTCCCTCCGCCGCCGCCGTCCATGGTCGGGCACGGACTAACCCTGCTCAGCGCAAACCCAGTTCACCCAATTCAGGGAAAAACTGCGCTGCATGTTGGGGAGGGGGCTTCCCAGACCCGCCCCAGCGGGCCCCAGACCCGACTCGGCCCAAATCTGGTTTTGCCGGATCCTTCAGGATCCGGCGCTCCGGCTGAACCCCGTTGCCTGCATGCCTCCCTCGTCCGTCGGAACTTTCGGACCCACCGGGCGGGCCCCGCGCGGCGGTCGCCAGGAGGCCGCCCCCGCTGGACACGGCCGGCGGCGGCGTGCCGGCGGCAGGCTCGGCGGCGCGGTCAGCCATTGGTGCGGGCGGGGGCGAGGGCAAGGGGGCGGGGGGTCGGGGGCTGTCGGAGCGGGGGGGAGGAAAGGGAGGAGAGAGGGGAGGGAGGAGCGGGGGGGAAGGGAGGAGGGGGAGGAGCGGGGGGGAGAATGAGAGAGGGAGGGGGAGGAGAGGAGGGAGGGGGGAGAGGAAGAGGATGAAGGAAGAAAGGGAGGGGAGGGGGGAGGGGGGGGAGCGGAGGAGGAGGCGGAGGGAGGAGGGGAAGGAAGGTCCGGGTCAGAACGCCGACGACGGAGGACGGCTGTGCCTGACGACGACGACGACGACGACGACGACGACGACGACGACGACGACGACGACGACGACGACGACGACTGGCGGTGGCGGCAGAGGCGGCCACAAACGACGGACGGCGGACGGCGGACGGCGGACGGCGGACGGCGGACGGACGACGAACGACGGACGACGGACGACGGACGACGGATGACGGCGACGGGCGACGGCGACGGGCGACGGCGACGGGCGACGGCGACGGCAGTGGCGGCGGCGACGACGGCGGCGGCGGCCACAACAAACAAGATGACTTCTGGTTTGTCTGGGCCTCCCGGGTCGCCGCCACGGCTGGGTCCGCCTCGGAACCCTGGCAACAAGGAGCACGCTCCGCGAGAGCGCCGCAGGAGCCGGCTGGGGGGCGAGGCTGCAAAGCGGGAACGAGAGAGACAGACACGTGGAGCCCTCATTCTTCTCCTCCGTCGCTCTTGCGCGCTTTTCCTAGCTCCTCGCTCCTCCTCGCTTCTGCAGGTGCACGTCGGTCGGAAGAGGCAGGCAGAAATTCCCCAATCAGTGCTTGCACTGGAAGGGTCCTAGCGGATATTGAAGGATTTGGCGACAGTTCCGGGCCGATTTCGGTGGGCGGCCGGGTTCCCGGGTTCCCGGTCCCCGGTTCCAGGCCGATTTCGGTGGGCAGCGGGGTTCCCTGGATCCCGAGTTCCTGGTCGCTCTTCCTCGAGCGGTCTCACCATCGATCTCATTACCCATCTCTATATCGATCTCACCATCGATCTCACAATCGATCTCACTATCGATCTCACAAGCGATCTCACTATTGATCGCACGAACAGTCTCGCGATCGATCTCACTATCGATCCCATCGAATCGACTTCACTCTCGGTCCCCCGATCGACCTTACAATCGTCCGCACTATCGATTACACTATCGATCTCACTATCGATCTCACAATCGATCTCAATATCCACATCACTAATTTTCAAAGTGTCCACTGATAGGGATTTTTCTGGTGCAATATGAATCAGGAAGGCGCTGAGAGTAGCTTGAGCCTTCGGCCGCCAGTTCGCGATGCGCTCAGAAGCGTACGTTTTCGGACCTTCAAGTAGGGAGGCGGCTAGTGTAGATGATAATCTGGGCCAGGCTGGTCCTGGGCCTCCTGGCTTGGGACTGTGGACATACACACCGATCACACCGATCCTGAGCCCAGAGTGTGCATGGCCAGGGTCGGTGAAGCGGTCAGTTGACGTCTCCCGCAAAAGTACCTTTTCAGCGATGGACGGGTATTGTGTACAGATCGGCCACGCGCTAGGGGCACCACAACTATCCCTGGGAGGTCGCCAGAGCCCAGGGGGGGGGGGGACGGGGTGCCCAGGAGAGACCACAACACCAGAAGAAAGCACGGCACAGGCATAAACTTTGCGAGGCCCGCGTGGAGTTCTTCTGAGTCGGCGCTGGAACCCCCGTCCCCACACCTCTTCCCCAGCGCAGGGCGCGCGGAACGCGGGGAGGGGGGGGGGGGGCGGCGCCTGAGGCGCCGCAGAAATCCGCGCGCATCTCAAAGATTTATGGACACGCATGCCGCTGGAGGCCTGGGAGCACGGCTGCCTGACGTCGGTCCAACCAACTCAAGCTACTACCACCAGGTGCACTGGATAAGGAACGACACTCCTCGTTGGCCCCAAGAGCGCCTCGGCTCAAGAGGAGCGCCAGAAGGGCAACCACGGAAGGACCTCAGGAACATCGAGCCCCGTCCGAGCACGAACTGACAACTGTTGCAGCGCCTTGACTGTGCACCGGTCCTGGGCCCAGGATGAGCCGCCTGCCCAGGAGCAAGGCCTGGCGCAGCGGGTGCACAGCCGATGAACCCCCGAGGAGGTACGGAGGCGAGTACCCTGCTTGGCTCGCGAGCGAGCGCGCGAAGCGCACGCAGGGCTGGCCTGGAGCCAGGTTCGGGCCAGGCTGGCTTCAAGGCGGGCGAGGGCGGGGGCGAGGGCGGGGGCGGGGGCGGGGGCGAGGGCGGCGTCCAGGCCCCAGATTTCCGACCTTGTCTTTTTTCTCCAAAATCCTGTGGTGTCGGGTCCTCGTTTTGAAGAGACAGCGCCCCGCGTTCCTCTCCTCCTCCTCCTCCTCCTCCTCCTCCTCCTCCTCCTCCTCCTCCTCCTCCTCCTCCCTCCTCCCTCCTCCTCCTCCTCCTCCTCCTCTCCCTCCTCCTCCTCCTCCTCCTCCTCCTCCTCCTCCCTCCTCCTCCTCTCCTCCTCCTCCTCCTCCTCCTCCTCTCCTCCTCCTCCTCCTCCTCCTCCTCCTCCTCCTCCTCCTCCTCCTCCTCCTCCTCCTCCTCCTCCTCCTCCTCCTCCTCCTCCTCCTCCCTCCTCCTCCTCCTCCTCCTCCTCCTCCATGTGACGAAGTCACCGACCGAAGAGTTCCTCCTCCTCCTCCTCCGCCTCCTCCTCCTCTTCCTCTTCCTCCTCCTCCTCCTCCTCCTCCTCCTCTTCTTCCTCCCCCTCCTCCTCCTCCTCCTCCTCCTCCTCCTCCTCCTCCCTCCTCCTCTCCCTCCTCCTCCCTCCTCCTCCTCCTCTCTCCTCCTCCTCCTCCCTCCTCCTCCTCCCTCCTCCTCCTCTCTCCTCCTCCTCCTCCTCTCCTCCTCCTTTTCCTCCTCCTCCCCCTCCTCCTCCTCCTCCCCTCCTCCTCCTCCTCCTCCTCCTCCTCCTCCTCCTCCTCCTCCTCCTCCTCCTCCTCCTCCTCTTCAGATACCCTCTACCAGGCTGGCTTTGGCATTCTTCCACGCCCTAAGGACCACAAGGCACGGTGGCGGATCAATATCTCAAACGCTTCGGGCGTTCCGCCCGCTCCTGTTGCAAAGCAGCTGCGACATGCTTAGGGGGTCGCGGAGCATTGGACTCGGACAATTGGCAGTCGGAGAGTTTCTTGGGGCCTCTTGGGGGTCTTTTGGAGGCCTCCTGGAGGCCCCTGGGGCGCCTGTTGGAGCCTCCTGGGGCCTCCCGGGCGCCTCTTGGGGCCCTCTTGAAGCGTTCTTGGGCGCCTTGGGGGCGCTCTTGGAGCCCTCTTGGGCCGTCTTGGAATCGTCGCGAAGCCCCGGATGGCCATCGGAAGCGAAAAGGCGAGAAAACCCAAAACATTAATTCCCCGGAGGTTTAGGAAGGATTTTGACCTCCTCGGGGCCTCCTGGGGAAGCTACCTGGCCACTTGGAGCCGTCTTGTAGCGGTCTTGGGGCCTGTTGGAGCATCGTGGGAGCCGTATTGAGGCATCTTGGGGTATCTTGAGCCATCTTGGAGGTCATCTTGGGTTCTCCCGGGCGTTTTTGGAGTCATCGGAAGCAACGCACCTCCCCCCAGAACCGCCAAAAGGCCCCAAGACGCTCCAAGAGACCTCCAACGGGGACCCTTCCTCTGCGCGCCGCACGCTTCCCTGATCGAGGCACTTCCTCTGGGCATCGTTTCTGGACGGGCTGGCGGGGTTACTTTTTGATCGCGACCGCGAGCGGGCACCCGCGCGGCATCAGGAAGTCGCGTAAAGAGAGCAAGCCGGACGCAGGCGGCACGCAGGAAAAAGGGCCACAATGGTGGCGAGAACTACTCGGCAAGGGCGAGAACGAACAAGAGAACCAAGGGAAGAGAGCGAGGCGACGAGAAACGGCGAACGGACAACAGAGGAGAAAGAAATCGGCGACGAGAGACAAGGAAGAGAACGAAAGGGCAGAGGCCACAGCTCAGCCGTGGAACAAGTAGTAGATCGTCCGCACCTTGCAGAACTCCCAATACTTGTCGTAAGTGCGCATCCGGCAACGAGCAAACCCGGGAGGCGGTGCCGCGGGCGAGAACCGACCAACGGCAATGAAACGGGTAGTGCAGGTGCACCCTTGCTGAAGGTCGCGCAGTACCCCGGGCCAGCTCCAGGGCCAGGCAGGGGCGGGAGTATGGAAGGAGACTCCAATCCATCGCGCCCCGGGGGAAGCATGGGGTGAGGGGCGCCCGTCAGAGAAAGGCAGCAACAGCTGCCAGGAGCTCGATTACCTTCGAGGGAAAATCGTGGAAGCCGAAGAAAGGGGATCACGCACCAGGGCCACCAAGAAAAACCTGGGGCCCGGGGCAGCAAACGGCCGCGGTAGCAGAGAAGGTTCGCCTGAGACAGGCCGGCGCCCAGCGGGGGCGGAGCTGGCAGCCACAGGGCGATGGGGGATTGCATCGCCTGAGACATGCAACTTTCTGGTAGGGCGCAGCTAAGTGCCGCAGGAAGGTGGGAAGAAGTTTGTTTCGCCTGAGACGGGCAGGCGCCCAGCGGGGGAGAAGCTGGCAGCCACAAGGCGATGGGGGATTGCATCGCCTGAGACATGTAGCTCTCTGGTAGGGTGCAGCTAATAGCCGCAGGAAGGTGGGAAGAAGTTTCGCCTGAGACATACACCTGCCCAGCTAAGGCAGGAAAAGCAGGGGCGGACCAGGGGGAACGGGCCGCGACAGGGTAGGTTGGGGCGCAGCTAACAGCGTCACTATTCAGCCGCGTGGGACAAGCCGACACCTTGCCGGGGTGCAGCTAACAGCCGCAGAATGAAAGGAAAAAGTTCCACCTGGGACAAGCCGAAGCACGACCTCAGCGCAGCTGACCGCCGCAATGCGATTGGGGAAAATAGCGCCAGGGACGTGCTGGTAATGTGGTAAGGCGCAGCTAACAGCCGCAGGGAGATGGGAAGAAGTTTCGCCTGAGACATACACCTGCCCAGCGAAGGCAGGAAGAGCAGGGGCGGACCAGGGGGTACGGGCCGCGTCTGCTGGGTAGGTTGGGGTGCAGCTAACAGCGACACTACCCAGCGAAAGTGCCGCGTGGGACAAGCCGATGCCTTGCTGGGGCGCAGCTAACAGCCGCAGAATGAAAGGAAAAGGTTTCACCTGAGACACGCCGAAGCACGGCCGGAGTGCAGCTGATCGCCGCTGTGTGATGGGGAAAACAGCGCCAGGGATGTGTTGGTAATCTGGTAGGGTGCAGCTAACGGCCGCTGGGGGGTGGGAGATGGATGTTTTTTGCGTGAAACATGCCGAAACCACGATGGGGCGCAGCTAACAGCAGCAGAATGAGGGGAGTTGCGCCTGAGACAAGCCGCGGCACAACAGGATGGCCCAAGAGGGCTCCAGGAGCGCCCACAAAGCTCCCAAGAGCGCTTCAAGAGGGCCCCAAGAGGCGCCCAGGAGGCCCCAGGAGGCCCCAACAGGCGCCCTGGAGGCCTCCAAAAGGCCCCCAAGAGACCCCCAACAGGCCCCAAGAAGCTCTCCGAAGCACCCAAGACGCTCTAAAAGGCGCCTGGGACCACCAAGGCCCCCAAGACGTTCCAAGAAGCCTGCACGCGGGGACCCTTTCTCTGCGCGCTGCCCACTTCCCTGATCGAGGCACTTCCCCTGGGCATCGTTCCTGGATGGGCTGGTCGGGTTTTTTGATCGCGAGCGACGCAGGCAGCTGTGCGCCGTCAAGGTAGTCAGACGACAGGCCAACCTAACAGGACAGGCGGAAAGAATGGCGAGGATACTCTTTTGATTGCGAGCGACGCGGAAGAGGCCGCGCACCGTCAACAGGGTCGACCAGCGGAAAAGACGTAGGTGAAGGTCAGGCACAGCGCAACTGTCGCCGGCGACACGCGGGAAAATTGACAAGCGATGCACATCGGCAGCGCGGAGGCGGGAGCGAACGAGGACATCAGAAGAAGGCGAAAGAGAAAGAGACCAGGCAAGACAGAGAGAGGAACGAAGGAGAAAAGGAAGAGACGGCGGGCGCGCAGGGGATCAGGCTCAGGCGGCAAACAGGTCGAAGTACCTTGCCGAAGAGCAGGGACATGAAGTACTGAGGGGGTCGCGACACCACAGACGCACACCAAGCGCACGCGACATACAATCCAGCAAGCCGTCTCCAGGGCCACAGAATGGACCGGATGGCAACGCCCTCCAAGAGCCATCAGGGGAGTAAGCACGCCCCAAATGCGACGAGGAGAAGGACCGGAAGGGTAGCCCGGTGGCGACAGTGACAAATCTGCCCAGCCAGGGAGATGGACGTCAACCCATCGCGTATGCGACACAATGCGGGGGCACGCCGACAGTAGCCAACGGCCCGATGGTGGTCGGCGGATGGTGTGGTTATTTTTTTGGCTCGCGGCCACCAGCAAGCGCGCAGGCGGCGAGAGAAGTCGTCCGAGCCGACGGGCAAACCTAATTCGCTGCTGGGAGCGACCCAAACCGGCCAGGCCAGCTCACACGGCGGCCGCTGGGGCAGCAGGGCGGGGGCTGGCTGGCTGATCTGGCACCCAGGGAAGCTCGAGCATCGTGCAGCCCAGAGTAAAATGCCAGGGAATTCGGTGTTACGCGCTGCGGCGTCAGACCACACGGGTGGAGGTGCGGAAGCAGGTGGGTGACCTGCACGTGCGACCCTCTCAAACATGGTGTGGGGAAATGGTGTGGTTACGCGAAGCGTCTAGAAATTCTGAGAGCGTGGGCTTGAGCTCGCTCAAGCTTCGCTCTGTCGGGGAAGGGAGAGCTGACGCCATTCAGGTTCGGGAAGGAGGAGGGGGGGAGGAGGGGGGGAGGTGACGAGGCCCAGGAGGAGGAGAGAGGGGGGGGCTGACGCCATTCGGAGGAGGGAGGAGGCGGAGGGGGGTCGCTCTGTCGGGGGGAGGGGTCGGGGGGGGGGGGGGGGGGGGGCTGACGCCATTCAGGGAGGGAAAAGGGATGGGAAAGGGACGCCATTCAGGCCCGGGAGACAGGGGGGAGGGGGGTCGCTCTGTCGGGAGGGGGGAGGGGGGGCAGACGCCATTCAGGCCGGGGAGGGAGAAGGGGGGGGGGGAGGCTGACGCCATTCAGGCCCGGGAGACAGGGGGGGGAGGGGGAACGCCATGAGGAGGAAAAGGAAGAGGGGGGGGGAGGGGGGAGAACGCCATGGCTGACGCCATTCAGGCCCGGGAGGAGGAAATC